CACCAGGAAGCTGCTGCCAAATTTGGCAAAGACCCAAAGTCCTATGAGGTATTGACTAAGCGGTTTGTTGGAGATGAGAATGGGGTTGTGAAAGGATTGGAAGTGGTCCATGTCCACTGGGAGAAGGATGCTAGGGGGAAGTTTCAATTTAAGGAAGTTGAGGGCTCTGAGGAGATGATTGAGGCTGATCTAGTTCTTTTAGCAATGGGTTTCCTTGGTCCTGAATCGGTTTAGTATTCTGAACTACTATCATATAATGGATGATATCTCTGGGGTGAACTACTTTGAAACTCGAAAAGCTACGGGATGGCTTGAAGATTTGCTGTCAAATTTCTGCACTCTAAAATATTGATGATAACAGCAAAAATGAAGTCTAGTTCCAGGCATTTGACCCTTCCATTCTGCGATCCTCTTCTTGTTTCTTAGTAAGATTATGGTATGCTTCAAGATGGTGATACATCCACTTCCCCGGAAAACCAATGCTTACTACTTGGATGGAACTGAATTGAATTTTAAGGCCCATTTAGAATTTTTGACCAATGGCAAGCTTCTCTAAGACGCTGGATTAATGATGAAACAAAGAAATTGGGCCTTGTAATTGCCCATTTGATTGGTGTATGGTGTGAGTTTGGGCCACAAGGCCCACAACCAAAACGACACCGTTGCAGAAAAGGACGAGTCCCACCGCCTCATGTGTCTAAAGCTCAGGCGCCGCCGGTCTCTCTCTGGGGACCGAGAGAGAGTTCTCTTCTAGCGGCGGAGACAAAAACGAAGAAGAAGATGGCGAGCAATCTGGGCCGTCTATTCACATCAGCAATCGAGCTTTCCAAGCCTCCAAAGTTATCTCTATCCTTCGGCAGATCCGAACCCTCGACCTCAGCGATTCGACTTATTTGGTCTTTCGACGCAGCGAAAACAATCTCATCAAGAAAACCCCAAGGAACCAGAAGGTGAGGTCTCGGAAAACTCAGAGAAGCTCGAAAGTGAAGATGACGATACTCACAATGGCGATGCTGAAGATGAGGATATGAGGACAGTGATGGCGTTCAAGTGAATAAAGAGACCGGTGAGATCGGAGGTCCCGAACCTACTCTCTTCGGCGATTGGGAACGAAACGGTGGGTGCTCTGATTTCTGAGATTCGGTCGATTCACAGCCGTTGATTTAGGAATGGAGTGAAGCTATGAGGTCAGTCAGATTTTATTTTGGGTAATTGCGAGATCATCTTATTCTGGGCTGATTCAACACTTTCTGAAATCTATTTCTATAGTATAGTTTTTGTTTGAGGGTCTGAAGAGACCTTATTATATATGAACTTTATCAACACAAACGAATGTCCTTGATTTTGGAAAGTATTCAGAGATGCAAAGGAAACAAAGCTCACATCGACTGTACAATGATGGACATTTCAGTAAATAAAATTGCACAATAAATTTTGATTAAAAAAATAAAATTGCACAATAAATCAAATTTGATTATATTTCTAAGCTCAAACTAAATCAAGTAACAAATGATTCGGTCACATATTTATAAAGATTAACAAACTTAAATTTATAGCATGTTTGGATGTTTAATTTGCGGGGTTTTGGACTGAATTTATGGAACGTTTCCAAACCCAGCCCAAAGGATTTACACATGGGATTCAAAAAAAATTCAATCAAATTTTATGTTTGATAAGTGATATAAATATTCTAGTAATTACCCGACACTTTGAAACTTAAAAAAACGCTCATAATCATAACTTTTCCTCCATTTGTTTTAATTAAAGACATTGAAATCAAACTTACCCTTGCTATTTTCGACCAAAAAAAAAAAGAATTCCGAATAATCTCAACTACAAAGTTTATATATCTAATTATATGTATCATTGCCCAACACAATCTCAAAGAATAAATTCCTTAACCTAACGCAAAGACATTATTATATTTTAGTCACTATTCAAGTCAAACAAAAATAATATTTATATCATAATAACAAATGTCACAGTTACATGTAATATATGTAAGTCTAACCAAATAACCAAAATTTATTGTTCACAATCATACAAAATAATTATATTAGCTTAAGATTGTGTTGAAAAATCACCAAAGTAAAGCTCACTATATAAATTTAACTGAACCAACAAAACTCATTAAGGTCATAATCAAATCTTAGATTTTTTGAAGCCATTGGTGTGAAAAAGGTTTAGTATTGGAGCCTTGTAGACCCAATGGACTCTAGCTCCGATATATATCTAGCAATAATTTAAAAGATCTAATAAAAATTGAACAAAGTAGAATGAATTGAGAGTTTTTACAAAGGCCATAACCTACCCCAAACTAACATGGATCAAAATTCTAAGAAAACCGTCATTTTCAAAAACCTGTAATACATAAAACAATTGATATGTTAATCAAACTTTCAACATGTTTGAAACATCCAATTTCCTTATTTTTCTTTCTACTTTTGCAAGGATCACATGAATCGCATATGCATTTTTTCAACAAATATCACTGCAACAAAATAATATTCAAAGAAGACCAAGGATATTGCAGTGCATATGAGAACTTACCCCTACCTTACCATCTAGATGTGTTTCCTACTTTGATCCGTTAGTGTCCAACATCTCCTATTACAATCCTACAACAAAAAATTTGCAAGATAGTTCAACAAAAGAAATCAAATTGATGGGATATGAGAGAAAATGATTACAGTTTCAAAGCATAGTAACTACATTGGTAAAACATATACCAATCCATATGAAATGAAGAATGAAACCAAATTTGTTAAACCAAATCTAATCAAACCACCATCATTCAATCACCCACTTCTATCAAAATAACTGTAACATGTAACATTCAACTAATGCACGTGCCAGTACAAACACAACTTGGAAGCAACACAATATAAAAATTCTAAAGCATTGACAAAACATTAAGAGAGCTCCGTTTATCTACAGACAACATCCATTGCTTTCACAGACAAAGTGCAAAAACAACCTATTAATAAAAATATATTGGATGACCGCTCTTATCAATTATCCAGTCACGTAGTATAAACAAAGATCAAATGTAAAGCGTCTAGAAATTTAAAAAAAAAAAAAAAATTGTGCATAATCCTAATGAAAAGAAAGTGAGAATGAAAATAATTGAAATTTGAGTTTTATTCTTACTTGTAATACGTACAGTCAAGTGGAAGCTCATACTACGAACACAATATTAGCTAGAACAACAAATGGAAATTATCAAAGTCCCATATTTAATCTAGAACAAATATATTGGATGGTCGCTCTTATCAATTATCTAGTCGATACATAAATTGACGGGCTTTCATAGTATAAACAAAGATCAAATGTAAAGAGTCTATAGAAATTTCAAAAAATATTATTCATAATCATAATAAAAAGAAAATGAGAATGAAAAAAATTGAAATTTTTGTTTTATGCTTACTTGTAGTACATACAGTCAAATGGAACATCATACTACAAACATAATATTAGCTAGAACAACAAACAAAAATTATCAAAAGTCACCATATTTAATCAAGAACAAAACAAAAATAAAAATAAAAATCTTAGTTGTCCAAATGACCACCACAAACACGAAATTCCTAAGAGTAATAAAAATACTAATTTCATAATAAAAATAAAACACATGAATCTGAAAACATTTCAAGTCTACTTGCTTTCTTGTTACAAATAAAAGTCAATTTTTAACTTAACAATAAAAACAAAAGATATAATCCATGACCCAAATAAGATTAAACCGAGACCAACTGAATATAGCAAAACTCATAAAAACAATATAAATTAGGTAGTGCTAGATTTTCTATAACAACGCTAGCAATATTAGTAAAATTGGGTTGGTGCATTGGGCTTTTTCATATTTATTTCCCATCTTATCACACCCATATGATTATTCTATGTCTATTCAAAAGCAAACCTTTCTTTATTGTTTCCCATTAAATACCACAAATTGACACCTTTTAAAGTGTTAACATAAAGCCCAGAACTGCAATTTCATGTTCAAGCATAGAGACCTTTAATCATAACATTGAAGAAATTGACCCATAATTGAAATTAATTGAAGGCAAAGAAAGTACACACTTCTTAGCTATCTAAGCCCCAAATTTGATAGCGAGCTACATATTTATGCTTTCTACCTAAGATACTCAATGGCATGATTGATACATACACAACTAATCACATTGAGACAAAGCCCATGGATAGAACACTTACCTTCAACATTCCAAAGCTAGGAATTTGTTAGCCATTTGTTTTACTGCCATTAACCGACAACAAAATTCACTAAGAAAAAAAGTCCTATGGAGCATAATAATAGATAGTTAGTGGACAACACCAACATGTGATTAAATTACACAATTCAACAAAGAATAATAATAAAAAAAAATACAAAAGAGAGAGAGGGAGAAATATGTGTGTGTGTTGCAAACACCTCTGTTCCCTCATCAAGCTTGTGGTGCGTGTGTGCTACAAAATCAAAGATGTGTGTGTGTGTGTGTGTGTTGAGGCGGTGGGATTTTGGGATGGAAGGAGGGTGAGAGCGAGAGTCAGGGAGGAGCCAAAGATAGTCTCTGTTTCTTAATCAAGCTTGTTGAAACTTACATCAAAATTGTTAAATCCACCGAGCCAACTCACTGAAGCAATAACAGAAACACTTGAATGAACATCCAATCTTATAAACCTATTTCATAATTTAAAAAAAACATGAATAAAGTTTGTGAAATTTCCAAACCTTGTTTAACACCCAAATTAAAAACTCAATTTGAAAACAAATTAGCCTAAAAATCTTATAGAATGAAATTAACGCACAACATTCTATTAACACACAAATCTTAATTTTAATCAAGACTCTATAAAAACCTATTTCATACTAATTGACACAATCCCTAAAATGATGGAAGTACATTAAATTAACACACAATCTTAATATAAATAACTCTAACATTCATCAAATCAAGATACTATAAACCTATTTCATAATTAAAAAAAAATCAATTTGAAAATAAATTAGCCTACAAATTTTACAAAAAGAATACTCAATATAATCAACTCAACATCCAAATGAACACTCAAGCTTAGCATTCTTGAATGTCATGACAAAAAACTTGGATCTTCTTTATTGTTTAGCATTCTTGAAGCATATGAATGGCAAATTGCAAGGCGTGAACCCTAAAGAGTTAAACCTCATGCATCTATTGTTCAAACTGCCTGTGACTCACCCAAGGAATTAAATTTCATATCGAAACGTCAGAAATGTTTTCGTTTCCATAGAAATCGAAATAAATCATTGATTGAATATCAAAATTCATATGTTTCGGTGTGTTTCAACCTATATTTCGTTTGTTTCAACCAATGTTTTGAAAATAAATTTTTAAATATTTTTTTTGGCTTCATAATATTATTGAAATGTTGATATTTTCAAACTCATCGAAACTATGCACCGAAATGAAATTTTGATTTTTGCACTAGAAACATAACTGCCCATAATCATAGGATACCTTGTTAATGCTCTTTTCTTTTCTTACCACATGGAAAGGTATTGTACACATGCATATAGAAAAACAGAGACAAAATTAAGAAGAGCATAACTCACATCAACTTTCCAGGTCTTGTTCTCAACCTTCACCTCACCTGCATATAACAAAAGCCAAAAACATAACTACAGAAGAACCAACAAAGAATTACAAATCAAGAGCAAGTAATAAAATAACAATAAAATTGGAAAAGGGGAAAAATGAATGCATGAGACCACATTCTCGGTGCCCGCACCAAACATCTGTCTGAGAAGGGCCATGATACTGGAAACATATCATGACATAGAGTCACTGATCAGTTCCACACCAAAAAGGTTAGCGGCATTTGGATTTGTGGGACTCAACCCACGCCCACCCAGGTTCCTCTATCCAAATCCATGGGCAGCCCAACATATTCGGGGGCCATAGGCAATAATTTTAAATTAGGTCCTATTAATATATTTTATAATAATGTAAATAATTGTCAACAATTAAATTATTATTTTTTTTTGTTTTTCTTTTTTTAGATTCAAAAATATTA